GAGCACACAATTGGGGAGTGGGAAAAAATCGACAATTACAATCAAGCTACTCTACCCTTCCAGCAACTGTGCTATTGAAAACGTAAAAAGCTGTATTTGTCCAAATATTATGACCATGTATTCATTAATCCACTCGTAAAACCCAGCCAACCGTCAGAGACTTCTTTCTAGTAGACCACCCAGTTATGCAAATAGAAAACTTAGAAATATTTAGTACCGCAAACAAACATGCCGCAACACAGGAGGAGGCCAAATGACACCTCGTGCCCACCATGCTCATTTCGATGCAGATAATGGAAGTGATAGAAACGAACCTTAGTAGAAGCGAGAACAAGTAAGCTTGTCCCGATATCACTCCAGTGAAAGGAGACGGTGTCGGCGCGGAAGAATGACTTATTAGCCACAGCAACGCAGTCTCCATTTCGCCACGCGTAGATGTACACTGTTGCAGGTGCACTCTACCACCAAGTCAGATGAATCACGAGAAAAAAAACCAACCTTTTCACCAGGTGTGTACACGGCAATATTGCGATTCCTAACAGACTTTGAGAGCGAGCAATGCCGCATGCCTTTCAGTGTCAGACGTTTTGCTGGCTTCTCGCCTTAGCAAAGAGAAAAGAACGCCATCGAAAAAGCTGCATACCTACCAAGGTTGTTATTTACATAAAATTGAATTTCGCCCTGCCAAACGCGAACACATAACTTGCTGTCAAGGGACCACTGCGGACGCCTAGAAGAAATGATAAAAATGAAAGACTAATCCAAACCATGTTCCTTCCAGAGTATGAACGCGACAATCGATTACTTTGCCCGATGCAACCTCAAATACGTGCAAATTAGGCCGACCTTCTGGGTACTCAGGAGTTTCTAAAAGTAATTATGCCAAATTACCAAAAATGTATAAAACGTGGATGGATGACATACTTCGAAATGGCTCAAACGTGCAAATATATTTCGCATCCGGCGAAATTACCAGTTTTGATACATTAGTGTGATCGATAGATGCAAATTCAATGTTGTCATCACCATTTCGAATGCTGATTCTAAAAGGAAATAAGGATAGACGCATGCAATGGCAATGAGACAGGATGTAACTAATGAATAGTACCTTTCACCATCGCTTATCCCTAGAACGGACCCATCTGGTGTGTAGCATATAGCCCTCGCTGCATTCTCTGACTCTCTTCATGCAAAAAAAAGAATCATATTCACCGCGGTTTAGGAGGTTGACATAAATGCCAACAAGAAACCTGTGACTTACTTAGCGATGAGCTTCAATCCATCCGTAGAGTTAAAGTTGAAGAAACGAATGCCATCACTTGTGTTCGCTATGTCATTTTTGCTTACGCTTTACGTAAACATTCTTACTTATTATGTCACAACTCGTCATCACGGCACACCATGAATCGAACCCAAATGTTTTCGAAATAGCCGCTCGTAGGAAATAGTCTTATCAGGTCGGAGCAAAGTAGATAACAAGACATTTTACTGACGCCAATGTTGAATTATTGACATTAATTCTAATAAAACGGTAATTAATATGGCTGGAAACTGTAAGGACTAATTTCTAAGAGTGGATGGGACAACAATATTCTGTGCTACCATTAACGCCAGCTTTAGCAACCATCATTTCGACATCATTAATTTTCGTGTATGTGCTGTTGCAGTGACGCATACTTGAGATAAGGTGGCGTCCATAGCTTCACTTCCTTAATGATGGTACATTTGCAAATTACAAATGCATGCGGACTGTGTTAATATGTGAGCAATGCTATGGAAGTGATACACGTAAGCTAAAGTAGTGCTGATTGTA